CTATTTCTGCCTTTCTCTCTGCCTTATTATTTATCAACCAGAGCACTGCAAATAAAGACAGAACACGAAGGCAGAGAATTTGAGTTCTATTATTATTATGTAAGTGTTTTTCTAGGGAATATTTCAAATTATTCGAGGGTTTTTTTTAAGACGGCAAAGATTTAAAAACAAAGAAACTATATTTTCAAAGGCTCCACAAAAAAGCCCTGTATCCATTAAAGGACAACATCTGAGAAAATCAGAACAGATATGTCTTCTTTGGAATCACAAGTATGAACAAATGAAAAGCAAGTTCATCACACTTTAACATCGAGGGATACGTTGTACAGTGGGGGAGAAAAAATAAAAATAAAATACGACAATTCATGAGGCAAGATTATATTATGGAGTGGTCTGGGTTTTTCGGGAAATGCCCATAATTATTTGACATATACTCTCTTTGTGTATACTGCATTTTGCAATAGTACTCTTATTTTGACTTGAGTTCTTCCATATAGTGTGAAGAAAAGATGACTCAGAAAGGTCACAAACAAGGACGTAAAATGAGACCCAGGTGCGGATGGAAAGTACATAATAATTTGGCCACGTTTTTTGCTCGTACCTTCTTGTTTTTGTTGCAGTTTTTTTTCTCCAAAAAATAAAGTTTATTCTTGGAAGTACATTACATTGTATCCCGTAGCAAAAGTGTACCCGAGATGCACTTGAGCTGAAGTTTATACTTATGCAAGAACCAGTTTGGTAGTTTTTATTGCTTCCATTGTTATAAATTTTGTATCAAAAGTGGAGAACAAAACATAAAGTCTGTGACTTAAATCAGGTATTTGTCAATGTTCGATGAACATTTAAATTGTCATAATATATGCTTTTCAAAACAGTAATCCGAATTTGCAGTGTTGTACTATGTAAAACCAACACTCTATCTACACTGACGTTTGCGTAATAATTTGGTTTAAGACAATAATAGAGAAAGAGGAAAAATCCGGGATTTTAGCGGAAATCCCCACTCGCCGGGCGAGCGTGAAACCCCCTAATAATGAGAAAGAAAATGAAATTGCATAAATTTGTTGTTGTTTCCTACTTTTCAAATCATCAACGTTCAGACACGACATACATACACATTTACGGTCGGAGATCGACTAATATCTGTCACTGTCGAGGGTTATCTTTTGGGAACTAGGTAGAAATAAAGCAACTTTTATTTCCTTAATGTACTTATCATCCACAGATTGTTTGTTTCGAGCCAAATAAACGACTCGTAAATTTTGAGGGTTTTTGTGATTGTCTTTCCTTTCTTTTTTGCTGTTTTTGTTTTTGTTTTTGTTTTGTTTTGTTTTGTTTCCTTTTTTCTGTTTGTTTTTTGTTTTGAGGATTTTATTTTGTTTTCCATTTTTCGGTTTTAGAGTTATTTTTCTTGGGAGGAAGAGGAAAGCTTCTGGGGACATTTTAAGGTCTATACTTTACTTTTACTTTTTTCTTCCGCTTGTACCCTGGGGTGTCGCGGGGAGACACAGGTGTCTGTCTGCAGCAAGTCGTGTGGCCTGTAGGAGGGACATCCCATGATCTTTAAGGGTGTCTGCCACAGATTCACTCCATCGTCGCCTTGGTCTTCCTCTGGCTCTCCATCCAGAATATTTAATGTTGTATGCTCTCAGAGCTGGATGGTTTGAGGGCATCCGCGTGAGGTGTCCGAACCACTTGACCTTTTGTTTTCAAATGTGTGGTAGGACTGGTGTTGCTCCCACGGTGTCCCTTATGACTTCATTTTTAATTTTGTCTCTTCTTGTTTTGTTGACTGCTCTTCTTAAGTTCCTCTCTAGGGCTTTTGTTAGAGTCCATGTCTGGCACTGATATGTGAGCGTTGGAAGGAAAATGGCGTTGATGAGCTTCGCCTTGGTGCTCATGGGGATATTGGGATGTTTCAGGAGAGGGCCCAGTTGATAGCTGACTGCGTTGGCTCTCTGGCATCTAGTCTCTATCTCTCGATCTAATTTTCCATTTTCTGTGAAAATGCTGCCCAAGTATTTGAATTCTCTGCTTTGTTTTAGTTGGGATCCATTGATGTTGATATCCACTTTACCTGGTCTCCTGCTAATTGTCATGACTTCGGTCTTGCTAGTACTGATCTTCATGTCATATTTTTCGCAGCTCGCATTTAGTTGGTTTATATGCTCCTGTAGCTGAGTCTTGTTGTTAATCATTGCCAGGTCATCTGCAAACATGAGTTCGTTGAGTGCCTCTGGGTCTGGATTGGCCTCTTTTGTTATCTGGTCCATGTAGATCACAAAGAGCACAGGGGAGAGATTGCAGCCCTGCCTCACTCCGGATGTTACTGGAAATCAGTCCGATGTTCCACTGGTAGTTCGGACAGCGCTTCTGCTGTTGGCATAGATAGCCCTGATGTTGTCTAGCAGTTGTCCCTTGATGTCGTACTGCTCTAAGATCTTCCATAGCTTGTTTCTATTTACTCGATCAAAGGCTTTTTTTTAATCCACAAATACGAGGTGGAGATCTTTGTCGTATTCCAAAGCCCTCTCACACAGTTGTCGGAGTGCGAAGATTGCATCAGTGCACCCTCTTCCTTTTCTAAAGCCAAATTGGGCGTCACTGAGAAGATGTTCGGTAATTGCGCGAGTACGTCGCTGTAGGATTTTTGCATACATTTTCCCCACATGGCTGAGAAGAGATATGCCTCTATAGGTGTTGTAGTCTTTCTTGCTGCCCTTTTTCTTCCATATTGGCACCACTATCGCATTTTGCCAGTCTGCTGGCACTTTTCTTTCTTTCCATGCTTTTTGAAAGATGATTGTAAGCCAATGTATTCCGGTTTCGCCGCATGCAAGGATGGCTTTGGTTGTGATGCCATCGTCTCCAGCTGCCTTGTTCTTTGGGCTAGTTTTCAGTGCTTCTCTTACTTCACTCTCCAGGATGGTAGGTTCTGAGTGCTCAGGGTAGTTGGCGGTGAATGGGCACTGTGTGTTTTGTGCCTGTACTCCTGATGGGTTTAGTAGTTCTTGAAAATATTCTTCCCATCTTTTTAGTATTTCTTTCTCTTCGTGCAGAGCTTCTCCATTAGTATCGTTGATGACAGTGGTGGGTACATAGGATTCGTCTCTCGTTCTCATTGTCTTTACCTTCTTGTAGAACTCTCTTGGTGAGGTCTTGCAGGTTTCACTTAGTTTTTTGCCATACTGGGTCCATGACTTTTCTTTTGATGTTATAACGACTTTCTTACTGTGTCTTCTTGCAAGTCTATATTTAATGTAGTCCTCTTCGTTTTTTGACTTGACCCATACATTATAAGTCTCTTCTTTTCCTTGATAGCATCTTTAACTTCTTCGTTCCACCAGGCTGTTGCTTTTCTGTGTTTTCCTCTTGTTTTCTTGGTACCACAGACTTCTTTCACTGTGTCCAGGAGAGTTGTTTTGAAGGTATCCCAAGCTTCCTCTACGGTTAGTATTGTAGAGTTGATAGAGCCAAGTTTTTCATTTAACGTGCTTCTGATCTGAGCCTGCGCCTGATCATCTCCAAGTTTATACATATTTAGTCTCTCTTGCTGTCTTTTATGTTTTTTTGGTTTTCTTTCTTTCTTGGTGGTTAACGTTGTGATGATTGGCCTGTGGTCTGTGTCCAGGCTTGCATTGGGGATGGCTCTTGAGTCTGTGATTGTGATCCGCATTCGTGTTCTCGTTAATATGAAGTCGATCTGTGATGAGACCATGATGTTGTTCCATCTGTACCAGGTGTAGATCTGAGAGGCTCTGTGCTGGAAGAAGGTGTTGTTGATGAATAAGTCGTGCTCTGCACACAGTTCCAGTACATGGTTGCCGTTATAATTGCATGGTGTTCTGTGGTCACTGTGTGGACCCAGGTGTTTTGTCCACGGTGTTCTTCTCTCTCCGACTCTTCCGTTGAAGTCTCCCATTACATAAAGGTCTTCCTCGTCTGGGATGTTGCTAATTAAGTCCGAGAGTAGTTGGAAGAAAGAGTCATTTTCTTCGTCTGAGTAGGAGTCGTTACACGGTGCATACACCTGAATGTAGTTTGTGGTCTTTTTGCCCTCTCTAATGCTGATTTTGATGAGTCTTTCAGAAATGAAGTTTGTATTCAATATTTCCTTTGCTTTGTCAGGGTGTATGATGAAGCCCACACCGTGTTCAGCTCTTTGTTCTTTTCTTGCCCCACTCCAAATGAGGACAAAGTTAGAGTGGATCTCTTTAGTGCCTTTCCCTTTTTTCCTGATGTCTGTAACGCCCATGATGGAGATCTTGTTCTGGGTCATGAACTCCACTATCTCAGGATCTTTATTTGTCAAGCTGCAAATGTTCCAGGTCCCTATTTTTTCATTTTTTCTTGATCGTTGTCCATTTTTCTCGCCAGGTCGTTTTCCGTTTTGATCAGTCCGTTTGTGTCTCCTTATGTTTTCTTGAGCAATGTTTATATCCACTGCCGGCCTGCTAAGCCAGTCGCAGTTTCACCAGAGCCCCGTTGGCCAGCAACGTTTCGGGGTGACCCGGGTCGGCCTTCACGGCTAGCGTAACGCCTCAGTGACATAAAGTCACACCGTACTTCACCCAGACCCATTTAAGGTCTATGATGTTCTGAAACTTGAGGTTGGGCAAATAAAAAAATGGCATGTTTTTTTAATAGGTTTTTTTTCGGGGGGTGGGATTTAAACAATCATAATGGGAAGAAAATAGAAACATATTTGATTACATAATTTTGCGGTTGTGGAAGGTTTTTTTTATGCCTGCAAATCTTGTTAATTTAACAAAGACACCTGTACACGATGGATCGGTTTAAAACTGCCCATCACATTCAGTTATATGATACTGACAAAGCAACTCGGTGGAATATTCAGTTATGCTTATGAATCAACAAAGATGTAATTTACGTCCAATTAATTTATTGGTCCGAGGATGGAGAACGAAGTGGTCTTGCAGATATTATTCATGGAACAGACAGTTATATCTTTGGGGAATCCTCCTCGGCAGAGAATACAT